GAAGGAAGACTGGAAGAAACATAAATAAGGACAATTATACTCATGTATCTAGCCTTTCCTTACTCGCGCTCAATTCAATCCATTTAACCTGAGTTACTAAGATACTTACTTTGGGGGTCAGTAAGACTTCTTACTACTAGTGGTATACTTCGGTATAGCTCTAGTAGGCGTTGCCTCTGACCTAGTCGTTATCGTTCTTGTTCACCTGAAGCACCCCTATCGTGTATCTTTGCGAGACCCCATTATATCGCGAGAAGTCGTTCGAGGAAGAGCCCTTCGCCAGGTAGGCCGTTGTCTCGAGGAAGAGGAGACCCGGGTCGGTTAGACCGTCGCGTGCTCGTGAACGACACAGAGTCAAGAAGACTCCTTGATCCTTCCCTAACCACCATCGTTAAGTATCGACGACTACGGTTGGACCCAACGCGTAACACCTTGTCTGCCTCACAGGGTATTGTTTCATCCTGCATCGCTGTGTTGGACAGCGCCCCATTCTGTTGGTCCATAACATAAATATAATAATAAATATAATAATAAATATAGTAATAAATATAGTAATAAATATAGCTATAGATAAAGGCTATAGAAAGCTGCTTCTAGGCCTATATATATTTATATATTTTTTGTAAAAATAATAAAGGTTATATAAATTATTTCTAATTCTTAGTTTTAGTAGAAATTAACCTAATTTTTACCTAGCTACAGAAACCCTAATATTAAGAATAAAAAAATATTTTTATAAATAAGTTACTCCTATTAAATCTCTATAACTGATATATTTTTAATATTAAAATTACAATCATTTTTGTTGCTTATTACAAGGTCAAAGTTGGCCATTTTTAGTGTAAAAATGGCATCGGCTAAAAACTTTCGCGCCCCCCACTGTACGTTAAGGCTTTCATTCGCGCTTAATAGGGACAGCCAGACTGACAGACTAACGACATATGCAGAGATCAGAAGGAAGGCGTTGCAGCCTTTTTCGAGAAGCGGAAGCCCGTCTTCAAAGCTACGCTCGAGGAGGACGCACCGCCGAATTTCCCCTGGTGGACCGAAGTCGATACGGAGAGACGACTAAAAGCAAAGACCAAGTTGTGAATGTGGTTATTGAGTTGTGATTGTCGATACATCTAGCCTGGCAACTCTGATGAGTGAATTGTGCGAGAACAGGAAAGAGGGAGAATGTCTACTGTCTAGGGTAATCAAGTGGTAGTGATAAGAGTGAATTCTGAAATAACGGTCCTTATTAGTACAATTATTTCACTCTCTAAAACTGTCTCAACGCATTGAAATAAGGACGGTATTTCCTGAAGGTTACTTTGGATTGCGTTTCTGTATTCAATTTCAATTAATGGGTTCATGTGTGTTAAATGTCTAGTTACATTGGTGAGAGATCTTCTAGATGTAGGGTTAGAGTTAAGAGAATTCAGCGATTGAAGGAAATGCCATCAACCAAAGCATACAGTGACATAGACAGGTATAGTATCTCTTAGTAATCTCTCTTGAACGCAGCAGCAGCCCCAGCCAAAATGGCATGCAGATTAATCCTCGTCGGATACAACGCCGTCATTCTGGCAACCAACTCCTCCGGGCTGCTGGTCGCCTTAACCGCATCTTCAAACGCGAGGATATACTCCTTTGTATAGCCAGGAGATTATACACCACATCAACAGAACCAGGTCTCTTGTGACCAGCCACCACAGTCTGTGGCCGCAACGCCTCAATCTTCTCGATCGCTCGGATCCACCCCATGCGCTTTTCCGTCGTGTTGGCTTCGCCAAAGTACTGATGCACATCGCCGTAGACCACATCTCCGGCAACGACCAGGTCGAAATCTGGCACGTGGAGCACCGTCGTGTCGTGGATATCCGAATGCCCGACCTCGATCGCATGGAAAACATGGCCTTCGATTTCAAACGTGTCTGGCGACTCCATCGGCTCGGCCAGCGCGACAGGCTGCGCGATCTGGTCTCCCGGGAAGAACTTCAGCCATCGCTCCTCAAACCACTTCGGCTGGAGCTGCTGTTTCATGTGGCGGACAGTTCCCGGCGTGGCTATTGCTTTCGCCTTCGGCCAGCGTTTCTGCAACGTGGAGATGCCGAAGAAGTGATCGCCGTGGCCGTGCGTGATGTAGATGAATCGGAGGTCCTTGCCTGGTGCGGTATCTTCGATCCACTGGATGAGGGACTCCGTCTGGCTGATTGAGAGTGTCGACTAGTACGGCCTCGGATTTGCCGTGGATGAGCGTGCAGGAGATGGGCGAGAAGGAACTGGGGCCGCCGGCTCGGGGGATGGCGATTGGCAGGCGAGGGGCGACGTAGACGTCTGCTCGGAGGGACATGTAGAAATGACGATCGAGGAAATATTACACCTCTGTATGAAGGATTAGGCCTGTCGATATACCAAATTTGGAGCAAACAGCCCAGTGAGTGTACAGTACAGAGATCAATGGGCGAGCGGAAAGCACAGCAGAACTATGCAACTGAAACTTATAATTCCCAGCTCGTCAGACAGGGTGTCCATCTAGATATACGGATACCCCCCTAACTAGGTATTCCGTTGGACAGTTCGCTCCCTCTCCGCTGGCGATTTCTGGATTACTGATCAAGTGCGAGAACCGAGGGGGAAATTCCCGTAAAGGACTTTCGACTGTTAGCTGTCACAACGGTGAGTTTACATGTGAAGATGCAGGAAATTTATTCAGGAGGTCGAGAGAACTAGGTAGGTGGAATGAGGGGAAGATTGACGCCCGACATGTAAAATAGTGAGCACTAAAGGAATAAATTTAGAAAGTCCACGAGAGAAAATAAAGTGAAACAGAGACAAACAAAAAAAAAGGAACCCATAAAAAATTCCACAGAAAAGAAGAAAAATAGAGAAGTCTAATTAAGCATGACTTATTTTAAAATAGAGAAAATCCGGTCCATTCTAATACTTTGCCCTAACCCTAATTTGTACCCTTGATACCCTAAATTTGATGAAAACCACCGCAAGCAAGCAACACCTCAACGCCTTGTCCATCCCATGGCACGTATCACACTCCTCTAGGGACTGACTGACTGACTAATTGACTGTCCTACCACATCCACTTCTCCGGCGGGCTGTAGTGGTCTTCGTACAAGACCAGCTGCCACTTCATGTACTCGCGATCGGTCCACTCGGAAGAATGCGCCATCCTCGGGACTTCCCAGTCGATAATTTGGCTGTCAATCAATGACAATTGTCAGAGAAAATACGTCTGGAGAGGGGGGACTGCAGACAGACTTACCATCTTTTCGTGTCCACGTCCCAGATGAGGTTGCGGCGACCGGCGTCGGTGTTCGCCAGTCCGCATCTAGCGCATTCACTGGCTGATGTCAGGATGTGATTTCCATACAGCAGAGTAAGGAAGGGGGAATACTGGGGATACTTACAGCCAAGCATCCTTAAACGCCGCTCGAACCTCGTCCCTCTCCTGCCTCTTCATCCCCATCCAGTAGTAATCGTCACGAGCGAGACTGATGCCCTGCGCCTGCTCCATCAGGATGAACGCCAGAAACCCGCCGGGCACCCACATGTCGTCCCCCTGGACTGAGTACTTCCAGCCGAGCAGTTTCGGGATAGTGGAACATTTCTGCTTGGTTAGGCGGTTCAGGGCATCCACCTCCTTCTCGATGGCAGAGGGGAACTTTGCCTCAGCCTGTTGAGCCCGGACGTGGGGAGGGTAGTAGCGGGTGCTAGCAAGGGGGACTCTACCTTCTGTTAGTTATCTATTCGTTTGTCTGGGTGCGTAGGCAATAAAAATGATGATGAACATACTGCGCACGTATCTTCATGATAGCCTCCTGCTCAGGTGTATGCACATTGAAGCACACATACACAGCGCGAGCCTCATGAACGTTAAATTGGCTGCGAACGGTCTCGCTCAGCTTCCGCTTCAGGCGCCAGGTCGAGGGAGAGGGCCGGTTAAACGTGACGACAGCGCCGATCCAGTCCTGCTCGAACCAGGGCTGGTGAGAGACAGACATTTCGAGGTCATCAAGTAAGTGAGGGAATTCAGACGGATAGATCGATCGGATGGTACTCAACTGTCGATGGACTGGAAGTGTTGACTGAGTGGTTGCTGGGCTTGGCTCCAAGTGACTGACGAGGAAAGATATGCTCGACTATTTGAGACTAAGATGTGAAGATGTGAAGAGTGAAGATCTGAAGATCTTCACTTGTCTGGTTGATTGCTTGATTGAATTCATCGTCGCCAGTCAAAGAAGCGCTTTTACACACGGACTGGAAAATATGAGCCAGGAAAGTTCCGTCTGCTCCGTGCAGAATTCAGACAAACGTTATGTCAGAAACGATTTTGATACCTCCAATCAAGCACATTTTGACGGTGTCTTCAGTGAATATGTGCCAAAATGGACGGCTTTCTCCGGTAAAATGCTCACGTCACATTGCTACGTAGCTCCCACCGAGAGGTATGGCGAAAAGAAGGCAAATTTTATATGACGAGGCTCTGAATTAACTAGTGTGCGAGACGAGAACAATGTATCCTCTTGAGTAAACGACGAAATCAGTTCGTTGTTGTCCTGAGTGCCTCCTGTCCGCAATCGCTTATCAGAAGTGCAAACAAAAAATATCCTAGTAAGGAATATTCTACATTATTTATTCCGATGGCAGGTACTTTCATAATATCCTCAACTCTACAAACAGCACCTACTCGAAGACTTGTCCTCTTTTGTTACATATCTTCCATCTCCGTCCAGTAACTAAATTCAATAGATAGATGCCGTAGTCAGAGTGCTATAACCCTATCCAATGCAGAGGAAATAGACCGAAAACCACTTTTCCTGGAAAATTATCCAGAGCAAGAAAAAGCTTGAAAACGCTCCTAGCAATGCACAAGTTGCCAAATACTACATATTCCAGCAGGATTCCACAATAATAGTGCCAATCTGTTCCACTTATCTAGAAATCTAGCAAATCACTAATTGATATTCCCTCTTTCGCAAGAAAAAGCTACGTAGCTGCTACACAATGAGCACTTTCACAAGGTCCATCAGTCCTGCCATCCAGCTTTTTGGTTTTTAGTATGGCTTTCCAGTTCTTAATATTTTTGATTTACTATCACAAAATGGGTATGCTCTTTTGGATAAGATGTGATTGATAGCTTGTCCCACGTCATCCACGTCGAGGGAAAGTCTGGTCAGTTCATCGCAGAGAGCAGCTCCTGCTGGAGCCTATCCTCAACTACAGGGGTGCCGCTGACTGAATGAGGAATATCAAGGGAGTCAACGCGATCATACTGTCGGTTGATTAAGATGCGGTATGCTCTCAGCCATATTATTTCTTTCCTGGCTGGTACGTAGCACAAAAGTATGTAGGTTAGGGTTATAGTGAATTATATAAAGCCCTGAATTGCTTTGGAATTGTTAAATAAATCTTAAAATGTCGACCAGGTTTCTAAGAATCAAGTTTGTTTTTTTTTGTTTCTGTCCCGAATGAGATACCTCGTATTAGCTATCTTCCGTACAATTCTTCTTCCACTTCTATTGATGCTACAGATTGCATTCTGTAATGTAATTAATCTTGTTACTTAAAAAAAAATGCATCTTAACGTTGAAGGAAAGCAAAAAAAAAACTTGATGCAATATTCTAATTAAAACGTGAAAACGATCAAGAGTAAAAGTATGGTTGTGTTCACTAGTTGCGGTCTAATTGGAAGAACTTAACATTATTTCACCTAGCAACAGACTGCCAGCAATACCAGAGGTCATCACACCTTCAGTCGAACCGTTTCATGTGGGAAAGAATGTTGTTTGCGGTCTTGAAGCTCTCTGGCAGTCTTCTATGCAGTCCTATGCGACGTAGAATAATCAACCTTACTTGCTGAAGCGACTGTTCACTGACTTTCAAGTCTGTAGGAAAGTATCTCAATTCATGATCAAGCTTGTGGCACTCAGGGCTACAGTACATAGCCATGTCTGTAGCTCTGGGCATTCCCTCGTCAATGATTCCATGTTCAGCATCAGTTCACCACCACTAGCAGGATGTAGTCAGGTCGAAGTCTCATGCTACTGTTTCAGATGATTCCACGTTTCAAGTTCTGGTTAGAACAACGGGTGATGGCCATACTTTTCCGCCAACAGCTGCGCAGAAGCCGCAACGGCAGCATTGCATCCGCTCGAGATAGCACCGGCGATGACCTTGTACGGAGTGATACAGTCGCCAGCAGCAAAGACACCACGCACGCTGGTCTGGTGGAAGGGCGGGTTCGCGGCAATATCGCCCGTCCCCGGAATCGGACTGGGGGAAAATTCCACACCCAGCTGGCTGGCAAAGGGTCCCTTGACCTGGGTGAGGGGGTTGTGCACGAGGAACGTTTCGGTCGTGGTGGTGCCGTCCGCGAACTCGAGCTTGATCGCCGTCGGCTCTTCGCCCGTCTCGACGAGGCTGAGGCGCGAGATCGCACGGTTGTCCACTTTGAACTTTTTCTCGCCGGCACCTAAGGCAGCTTCGAGCTGGGAGCCGAGTTCCTGGGAACCGTTGGTATAGATGGTCACCTGGGAGCTCAACTGGGCGGCATTCTCAGCAAAATGGATGGCGAGAGGGGCATAGGCAGCAGAATGGACAGCGAGGACGCCGGCGCTGGAGCTGCCACGGTCTTCGTAACCGTGGCAGAACAGGCAGTGAAAACTATCAGTGAGTGAGGTTAGCATTGCTCAAGGAACAAGCTGATATTCCTCTTACATGCGCTTCGTCCAGCAGTCTGTATAGCCTGGAATATCGGGGTAGACATCTGCCGACCCGGTGGCGAGAATCAATTTCTTGCCCTGCCAGGTCTTGCCATTTGCGTCGAGCAGCTGAAAGAGGCTGTCGTTGATCTTCTCTGCCTTGGCGATTTCGACCTCCTCGATCTGGATGGTGGAGTAGTTGGAGAGGATCTCCTTCCGGGCGGCGGCCTTGAAGTCGGCAGGGCTCTTGTTGTCCCAGGTAGGGATCATGTGCATCTGCGACGCAGCCCCGTTGCGATAGCTGCCCGAGTCGAAGAGAATGGCCGTGTGAAGCTGGCGGGCCAGCGTCAGGGCTGCCGTCAGTCCTGCAGGGCCGCCGCCGATGATGAGAACGTCGACAGGTTCGGAGGGCATTTTCGTCGAGAAAGCTTGCAGAGAGGAGATATTGACCGGGATTGATGGAACGAGGGTCTTGAGAAGAGGAGGAGCAAGGGAGGAGAGGGCGACGCGGCGGTGAGGTTTTATGGAGGGGCAATCGCCTGCTTCTTGGTCGTTGGCGTTACACCCCAGGATAGCTCCTGCAATTACAAATCGGCTTTCGAGTCAGTCTTCCGGCTGTGTTGGATTTGTTGGATTTCGCCTGGTCGATCCTTCATCGATGCTGACTGGAAACCAGCGTCATCAAAAGGCGCGCAACTCGCTCGCGTCCACTCCGAATGCGACAACAACGAGGATTCTAATTCGAACCGCATCCACGGAAAGAAAAACTAGGGAGGCATAAGTGGGCACTAATTATATGCCAGCAAAGGCCCGAATGATGCGGGGAATGATAGACAGGCGCTGACCAGGATGCAGTTCCTGCCATAGTCACAAGATAGTTCGGATTCTCGCTATTATCTCGTTCCCCTAAATCATCGTCTGGTCCAGACTGGATGTATGCACAGGACCCTGCTCATTCACATAATGCAAAGAGCTGGTCGTCACAGCAAAGGAAGCCAGCAGTTCAGGGTCGTTGCCGCCAAGCAAAACGACATTCACTCGAGTTATCCTGCCTCTTCCGGTGAATAACTTGTAAGGGCACTGAGACACATATAACTCCCAGTTTTTCTAGACGAAAGAACGGTCCATCATCTTGATCAAGCACGAAATTGTCAAGATAAAATCAGATCCATTCCAAGACCCTCTTCTCAGAACAAACAGACTTCGTCAGGTACGTCCGGTGCTCAAACGTACTTGATCAGTCCTTGCTGCAAGAGGGACACTGACATGCAATAGCCCAGACCACAAAGATGCGTTTCATCATTGCAGTCTTCCTCCTCACCGCAGCAGTCGTGGCCAGCCCCGTTGCTGTTGCTGTGCCCGAGCCTGAGGCTGCTCCTGTTCCTGCGCCGGTGGACGAAGGAGTTCTTGAGCCTGAGAACTGCTGCCTCTAAAGACTCGTTGGCTTGCTGCCAAGGGAGACCGCTTTGCCAGTGTGCTAGAGAGCAATCCAGCATCTCTTCTCTCTATCCAGATTGTGCTGTTGTTCTTTATTGCTAGTTACAGTCCGGACAGCATGTGCCTAGCATTTGTCCACTTTGTTCATGTGCAGCCATACCTACAGCTAGGCAATCTTATTGAAGTATCCGGAGATGCAGTGGAATTAATTATATTGGGAGAACAGTATACATTGATTTCATTTGACTGTGTAGATTTCACTCTCTTGAGTGCTTTGCAAGCAATAAAGTCCCCAGGTGGATAGATAGATGTAGTAGTCACCAAACTAATCCTGCCCGGCCTTCTTCTTGTAAGAAGTCTGCTCCCGGTACGGCCACGGCACCCAGTCATCGTCATAGCCAAAGTAGGCCCGGATCTTGGGCAGGTAGGGAGAGTCGTTGGGGCAGTACTTGAACCGCTCCAGGTTCGAGATCTCGTCGTTCCCCGGGAGGATGTACTTGTAACACGGGTCGTGCCGCTGGACAAACGCCTCCAGCTGGCTCCAGTCGCGGCAGCGGCGCTGCTGGCCATCGCCGGGCCGGAAGCCGTGGATGGCGTTGCGAGGCACGTACCGCGGCGTGTCGTCAGCTGCGCACAGCGTTTCGAGGCGGATGGTGTCCAGGCAGTGCAGGAGATGGGGGTAGGTGACGCTCTGCGAACGGCCCTGGCGGTACTCCTGGATGGAGATGTAGAGGTTACGCTGGTCGATTTAGTAAAAGGATCTTACTCGAGCTTGATGATGGACAGCACATACCACGCAGTGGAGGATATGGTGGGCGTTGACAATGTAGATGCTCTTGTCCGCGTCCCAGGGAAATGGCTGCGAGTCCGGCAGACCCATCGCCTTGGCCTCAGAGTTTCTGATGGCGATGATGCCTCTCTCCCAGGGGATTTCCGAGTCCCAGAGCTGACTGACGAGCGTGTCGTTGGGGCCGCTGTACTCGGTGTTCCACCACAAGGTGTCCTGCCGGTTGGTCTCCAGCTTTGCTGACGGACATCATCAGTTCTGTCTGTCTGTCACATCAGGCAAGAGAACGACACTGCGTACCGTATCGAGAGCGGTTGTCACATCCCTTCACAGCATGAGCCCAAGCCAGGGCGAACAGGAGATTCGTCGTCAGCAGAACGACTGTGATCGCGGTGCGGAATGGCGCCCAGGTCTTCTTTGGGGGTGGCCCTTCGTCCTCAGAGTCGGTTTCGCTCGCCAGGAGGCGATACATGTCGTGTCCAGCAGTCATGATTGCTAGAGACTGGCCGTGTGGATTGTATTCGGGACAAGAAAGCAGAAGTCAAGGAAGCCGCTTCAGCATGGAGGCATTCGCAAGCCATGGCTCAGTCTTGTATCCTTGCTCAGCTACCTTTCGTCAGCTAACAAACCAGCTGGATGGGGGAATGCCTCGACAGACCAGGGTGCCAGTCGAAATGGCCCTCGTTTCAGCCAACGCACCAGGCTCGACAACGGGGGAAACATCTGGAGCATCGCTCTCTGGTATGCACGAGAGGGCCTTCTCTTCCTCCCTCTCTCTCTCTCTTGTTGATAAAATTGCCCAACTTCCTCAAGACAAAATACTGTCTACTTCGAGCTGATCGATCCCAGTCATGGCTACAACATTCCAGTATACTCACTTGCCGTTCGCTTTTGCGTCCCCGGGGGATGTGCTCGCCGCCGGTATCGTCCTGCCACTGATGTGCATGCTCTCTGTCGTCTTGCGATTCTACACGAGAAGAGTCCAGAAGGCGGCTATCGGGGCCGATGACTTGCTGCTGGTGCCCGGCGTGGTATGGTTCTTCCTGCCATGCCTCATTTTGTGACGTGAATCTAACGAGCTCAACTCGACAGATCTTGATCATAGGTATGGGCGTTTGCCTGATTGTCGGTTCGTACACACACAGGATAAGCCTCATTCTGCTCTGCATGCCAATCAATGTACTTTCAGGCTACGCCAAGCGAGTGATGGGATATCCGACCCCGCTCCCCGTCGGCAGCGATCCCAAGGAGGCCTATGCGGAGTATCTGGCGTCGTATCAGACCGAGGCCGAAATCGAGTTCTACTACCAGCTCCTGATGATCGTCGCCTACGGATGCATCAAGCTGAGCCTGCTGTTCTTCTACCGCCGGCTCTTCCTCGTGGTGCGGTGGTCCGTCTTCGACGTCGTCTCCATCGTCTATGCGGCCCTCGTCGCCATGTGGACGCTGGCCTTCTTCTTTCTGTTCCTCTTTGGGTGTCGGACCAGGATCGATATGCACTGGGCGCCCCTGCAGGAGGTGCAGAACCAGTGCGGCAATGCCATGGCGCCTGAACTGGGGCTGGTCATCTCCGACCTGGCGACGGATCTCATGATCCTCTGCTTGCCTTTGCCGATTGTGTGTTGGCTCCTCGACTCCCCCATCCTTTGGATCCGGCTGATCCGATGTCCTTGCAGATCTGGCGGCTGAACCTGAAATGGACCCGCAAAGTGGCCATTAGCTGCGTCTTCTTGGTCGGGTTGATGTGCGTGATATCCAACGAATCAATTTTGCGTGCAGGGAAAAACTGACTGGCAGGCCAGGGCGATCGCCGCGTCAATTGCGCGGATGGTCATCTACATCATCGTGTCATACGAGGGATATGGAGCCGGATATGACCTGGACCGTGAGTTCTTCTCGTCCTCTTCTCGTCCTTCTTGTCCCAGCTCACTGAACATGTCCTTCCCAGAAACGGTCACGACGATGCTCTGGTGGAGCATGATCGAAGCCAGCCTCGGACTGATCGCCGCGTGTCTGCCGACCCTGAGCTTCCTGACTCGAAAGATATCCATGGCGAATCTCTTCAGCCGCCTGCGCAGCCGCAGCTCCAGCCGCAGCCGCGATCTGGACTACCAGCATTCGAATCTGCACCTCAACAGCGACAGTATTCCGCTCGTCGAGACGAAGCCGATCTTCCTGGCTGTCTGGAACGGATCCGAGAGGGCGACACCATCGCCATGACTGACCGCGACAGGGGCAGCAGTGGAGACCAGTTGAGAAGCGGAGTTCCGGCAGGAGAGCGAGACAACAGGGGCAGCGGGAATGAAATCCCATACTCCGTAGAATGCAGGTGTTGTTAGTAGGTATGAACGAACAAATGGAAGAAGAGTTTCATCTGCAATCACATATCCTAGTCCACCAAACCTTGTAACTATCCTCACCAACGGCTTAGCTGTACAGTACATACCTATCAAAGTACGAGGAAGGCTCGGAGAAAAAACAGCAATGTATGTACCCCTGCTCGTTCCAGCAAAGCGGCAGGCTTGCAGGGACGTTGGAGAACAAATATTGGATTTCATTCCCAGACAGACAGACGGGCGGTGTAAATAAATGTTTGACGACTTCGTCACCTAGAGCTTTCACTGATCACGACGGTATTAATCGCACCGCATCCATCTATCCATCGCCATGTCACACTCGCCCTCTCCCGACCTGCACGTCGCCGACGTCGACCTGGCCACCGACTGGGACGAGCTGATAGAGAGCTACTGGGAGGCCTGGAAGCATCCGCGACAGGCCGTGGGCGAGCTGACCTTTGCGCACCTGGGGAGCAACACCGCCGCCGAGGCGCAGGCGCTCGCCGACGTCAAGCGGACGCTGCTGCGGGCGGCGCAGGACGACCGCGAGGGCACGCGCTGGGTCAAATGCATCCATGTGCCCTCGGGGCGCATCGTCGGCGGCGCCATGTTCCAGGTCCATCGCCGCAACCCCTACCGCGCAGGCCTGCCGCCGCTGCAGGCTACCTGGTTCCCTGAGGGCAGCGAGCTGCGCGGGCTAAGCGAGGCCATGTACGCCCAGCTGTGGGCCTGGCGACCGCGGCTGATGAGCGACGCGCATATCTGTATGTACGGGCCAATCCTCATCCTATCCCTATCCGGTCTGCGTCGCTGACTGCTTCTGCTACTGCTGCTGCTGCTGCTGCTTCTTCCAGGCGGAAACGCGCTCTGGGTGCTCCCTGCCTATCGCTCGCAAGGCGCCGCTACGCGCCTGATGGACTACGCGATCCCCATCTTCGACTCCCTGCAGCTGGAGGCCTACGTCGAGGGCACCGCCATCAGCACGCCGCTCTACCTCAAGTACGGGTTCGTCGTGATCGCCTACGCCAACATGGTCTTCGTGCCGCCGGCGAATCCCAGCTCAACCTGGACGCGCATGGTCCGCGACATTTAGGCCCATCCGGTCAGCATCCTCTGGCGGCCCGTCGGCGGCGTCTACGTGGAGGGGAAGACGGTGTTGCCGTGGGAGGGGAAGCCTCGGGAGGTGAAGCTGTGATGGACGTATGTACTGGACATACGAACATGTCAAGCACGGTCCGGAGCCGCCGGATGTGTGTCTGTTTGAGAGGAATTGTAAATGAGATATTGCTCCAGTTTCATTCCCGTCTAGCAGTGATAACCGCCGAGCCAGCCCTTCTGATGCGAGCATCGAAAAGCACCCCGGTCGCAAGAGCCCCATGCTCATGCACCCATCCCGGTTCACACGCCAGACAGTCGCTCTCATCACGTAGTCCTAGTGGCCAAGCCCCGTTGGGATCACAACCTTCCCCCGCTCAGCGCGTCTTCTCCCCGGACACGCCGGGCAGCGGCCGGTCGTCCCTGCTCTTCACCTTCATCGATTTCCACTCTGTCAGAACTGCGCCCACCGTCGAGAGACAGCTCAGCCCCAGAGAGATATACATCGTCCGGACCAGGGCCGCGCTGTATGCGTCAAGCACCTGCGGCATCTGCTCCGGCGTGAACATGCTGGCGAGCTGGGTGGCCCCGGACTGCATGAGCGACGACGCGCTCACTCCGGGGGCGATGTCATGCAGCCGGTCCGCTAGCGTGTTTTGGAAGATGCTCTGCCCCACGGCCACGAAGATGGTTGCGCTCAGGTTCTGCACCAGCGTGACAAGTGTCACTCCAATGGGGATCTCCTTCTCTGGCAGGAGCGTCTGCACCACGTAGCTGGGCTGGCCGAAGCCAAAGCCCACGCCGAGGCCATACAGCAACTGATATCCGATCCACGCGGATCTCGCCGTCTGCGGGGTGAGAGTCGTCAAGAGTCCCGCGCCGATTACCGCTAGAATCGTGCCGATGATCATGGCCGGATTGTAGTACCCTATCACGCTGGTCAGGATTCCTGCGATGACGGAGCAAACCACGTAGCCGACAATCAGTGGCATGAGCATGACCCCGGAGGACAGCACGGACTGGTGCTGGATCGCCTGGAACCAGATCGGGACGTAGAGGATGGCAACATAAACACCGCCCGTCATGCACATGGCATAGCTTATGGCCAGCCATATACTGCGGCTCCTCGCCAGAGTCGGTGGGATGGTCTTGGAGCTCTTGCCAAGCACCTGGACGAGAATGAAGCCGATCATCAGGACGCCGGCCACGACCAGGAGCGCGATGACTCGGCCATTGCTCCACGGATAGGTTGATCCTCCCCACTGCAGGCCCAGCAGCAGACAGACCAAGGCAGCAATGAGAAGGACCATCCCCACGAGATCAAACTGCCGCAGCTTCTCTCTAAGCCCCATCGTTCTGACCAGGGGGTTGGTCGGAGTCCGAACGAGAAAGGAGCAGATGACAATCGTCACGAACCCCATGGGCAGATTGATGCCGAAGCACCAGCGCCAGGTCGACTTCTCCGTCAGGGCGCCGCCGATAAAGGGGCCCACGATGGCGGCCACGCCAAACACGCCAGACATAATGCCCAGGTAGGCGGCGCGGTGGTCCAGCGGGATGACCTTGGTCGTGACCATGATGCCCCCGGAGAAGATGCCGGCAGCACCCAGGCCAGCAATGGCACGGCCACAGGTCAGAGCGACGGCATTGGGGGCCGTTGCGCAGATCAGCGAGCCCAGCTCGAAGATGGCTATGGCGCACAGGTAGACGATCTTGATGGAGAAGAGCATGTAGAGCTTGCCGTAGAACAGCTGGAAGGTGCTCAGCGTGAAGAGGTAGATGGCCGTCCACCAGCCCACGTCGTCCAGGGCCTTGAACTCGTCGCTGATGGTCGGGGTAGCGGTCGCGAGGATTGTTTGGTCCTGAACATGCGCATGTGAGGAGGAGATCGAAAGAAAGAGAATGCGGAAATAGTTATAGTTACCATGCCCGTGAGAAACACGGCCAGACACAGCCCGACCATGATCAGCGCGAGCTTCGCAGTCTGGGCGGCAGACTTTTGCGAGGCTTCATTCTCGACAGTCGGCCTGTCCGGGTCTCTTTGTTCGGGATCGTTCTCTCGCTCCGAGGCGATGGCAGATGTGGTTGCAGACATTGTAGAGGCCAGGAGGGATCCCTGAATTGGAAATCGAGATGGAACAGAGGCAGGAAGGGAAGAGAGGGAAGCTGAAGCCTGCTCTCAAGTTAAGAGTAATGCACTGCTAGTCAGGTAGTGGCAATACTGGGCCCGCTGGTCAATTTAAATCCCAGCCATTAAGCGATGCAGAGCTGCAGGGTTCATGACTCGTCCGGTGAATCGGGTACTTGACGCTGCTGTTTGCACTTCCACCGTGTCAGTGGCTAAGAAGTGATCTATAAATAAATATTGGGGATTCACTGCTTGATTTGCAGCTAGGTTCCAATAAGTGTTTTGTTAAATTTGCTGCTCTTTTTCCTTTGTCCATTTTAAGGACTAAAAAAGGTGATCAGCACTGACCACCTTTTAGGCAGGCGATATTAGAACACGTACTATTCATACTCTCTGGATATGATTTCTTCTGCCACACGCTGAATTGCGTTTGGATAATGATTCATATCGACGAGCTGTAGTAGTGTCTGACCAAAGAACAGTTCCGCCAAAGAACTGCATACCGTCGATTCATTCCGGATCCTCATCCGCCACATACCTTGGTCGGATCTGTTCTCAATGAAGTAAGCCATGATCGATTTATGCGTACCAACACTAGTGTTGGAGTGTTGGATAGACTCCGTAATGGTGTCTTTTCACTGGAGCCTCATTTGGCTGAAACCTCTTCTTTTGCCCGGCAAGTTTGATATTTTGATAGAAAGCGCCCAGTGCACATGTTGAATTCAGCGGTAATACATAAGGGTCTGGTTCATCCGTCCCTCCCTAGAGTCAGCTTCCTAAGGTCCCCGAAAGTAAGTAAAGCTCGTCCGGAATAAATCATATATAAGTGCAATCCAAGAAAATCATTACCTACCATGCAACTTGCCATCTCCTCAACAAGCGCATACTCAAATGCTATCCATTCTTTTTGTCTGTCATTCAAAGCTACAAGCATCAAATGTTTGTGCCCTGTCGAAGTCGATCCAGATTGCCCTTTCAGGGTCGCCATCGACAACCATCATATTCCTAGGGTGGACATCACTATGTTGAATCAGCGCATTCTGGATCTCCTTAATGCCTTTTATAAAATTTTCCATCCTTTTTTGGAGTGTAGTTAGTCCAATGCAACATCTGCATATTGGGGATATATTCCAAAAGAATAGCGTTTGGAGGATAATCATCATTTAGAAACATCTTGAGATGAGGCTGGCAAAGCTGCGGATCGGGTTTCTCGATGGTTCCATAGAACTATGCAGTCGATTCGCAAAATGTGGAAGTTTGTTTCGCGATGGGGGTTCTCATAATATTGTTTTGGTCCACGACCATGATGCTATTGAGCTTAGCACAGGCATCGAAAACGTTTCCTACCCACCATCTTACCACTTTCATGACACATGTTGTATTCCGAATGACCACAAGGAATATCACTGAGAAACGTGTGCAGGACAGCTGTTGCTTGAAAACGATCTCAGAAGGCGTAACGTCAGTAAAATCCATCGTGGGGAATAAATATAGCTGAGGTGATGCAGAAGGGAGTTGGAAGGGATAGAGAGCATTGTCGGGTGTTTTGAATCCCCGTGTTTGACTTGTTTGCTTGGACTGTCAGGGCAGACTGAGGAAGCAACATGCTAAACTGATGCTTTTCTTGCCATGTGAATGGTGATTGGGAGGATGGGAGAATGTCAACATTTGAGTGAGCGTTGTCTGATTTTATATCTTTTTTATATATTCACACTGTGGCAAGGAATTGAGACACAAGACTACTTAATTTTAGCTAACTTTAAGCAATATCTAATACTCTTTTCCCTGGAGTTAAGAATAGTCCTCGAGATTCAATATTTTAGGATATTCACTGTAAGTTCGTCTCGGCTGTCTTGTTGGAAAGGGAAGAAGTCCTCGATTCCTAGGAGTAACTAACTTATTTAACTAACTAACGTAATTCCCAACCGAACCGGACACCCGACCGAGCCGGACACCCCATCCAAAGTCCACGCGTTTAGGATACTGAAGCTATTCAAACAACCACCATGCCACCAAAATCGCGTCTATCGTCTCGAGACTTGGTGGAACAAGAGGGGAGGATCCAACTCGCGATCTCTGCTTTAAAAAACAACGAAATCCCAAGTGTTCGTCGTGCAGCGGAGGTTTTTAATGTGCCTAAATCTACACTTCATGACCGACTGACTGGCCACCATTTTCGAATCGAACAACGTGCCAATGGCCACAGGCTATCTCAAACTCAGGAAGATGCTTTGATACAATGGATACTATCTAGGGATTCACGTG